AGTTCAATTCCCAGCAACCACATGGTGGCTCACAACCATCTGTGATGTGATCTTGGTGCCCTTTTCTGACATACTGGCATATATGCAGGTAGAACACTGTATACATAATAAATAAATAAATAAATAAATAAATAAATAAATCTTAAAAAAAAAAAAAATGTGATCCCTCAACTGCTCCAGCTAGCATGCCTTTGAAAGATACTCAGAGTCTTATATTAAGCTTTGCTTTATTTGTTGCATTTTTCCCTGTCTATGTTTTAATCTTTTGATATTATTTATGTACATAAACACAGTTTTTTATGTACTTAAACACAGTGTTTTGTTTCTTTTTTCTTTCTGTTTCTTTTCGCTTTTTTTTTGAAACAAAGTTTTGCTGTACAGCCCATTCTGGTTTTAAATTCACCACCCTTCTTTCTCAGCTTTCCAAATGCTGGGATTATAGGCACTTACCACCGTACCTACTTGAGTAGTTTATCCATTGTTACTAATTGATTTTAAGTACGATCTTTGTCAAACAGCCACTTTTTATATGTATATCTAAACATCTATTTTAGGATCTTCTTACTATATCCCATATTGTTGTGATTAATTTTTCAATGTTGAAAATCAAACACAGGGCCTGGCACATCTACAACTCATCTACATCCTCAGCTTTAGTGAATATTTTGCTATCTAATTGGGAAGTAGTCTAGTTTTCTTTGTTGCTATGATAAAACACCATAACAAAACAACTTATAAAAGGAAGCATATAATTGTAATTACAATTTCAAAGACATGCTGGCTGGAGCAGTTGAGAGCTCACATCTTGATCAACAAGTATGAGGCAGAAAGAAAGAGCATTAGGAATCCTACCAGTCTTTTGAAGCCTCCAAGGCTGCCCACCATCCCCATGCACCTCTTCTAACAAGGCCACACCTCCTAATCCTTCTCATAGTTCCACCAACAAGGGGCAAGGTGCATTCTCATTCAGACCACCAAAGGAAAGATCCTTGCTTGTTGCCAAATATTTCTATTGCTTAATTTTTTCCCAAGTATAATTTAGGAAGAAAATGACTTGTCCATTTATGCTTTTTCTAGTAATATGTAAGAATGAAACCAGGTACTTGACTACATTTTAAAAAGAGCCAGATGTGGTGCTATGAACCTGTAATCCCAGCATTTAGGAGTCTAAAGCAGGAATATCTTGAGTTCAAGGGCAGCCTGGAGTACATAACAAGACTTATCTTGAAAAAATTATTAGTGGCTGGGACAGTGCCTAGTGGCACGAGTGGCAGGAACCAATACAGAGGCCATGTAGGAGTTCTGCTTATTCTCTTGCTCTCTCCATGGCTACCTCAGTCTGCTTTCTTATAGAACCCAGGACCACCTAGCCCAAGGGAGGCCCTCCCTCATCAATTACTAATTAAGAAAATGTTCTGTAGGTTTGCCTAGAGCCCCATCTTATTGAAGCATTTTTCTCTTTTTTCCCTTTCCCCCAACCTCCCCAGGACAGGGTTTCTCAGTGTATCCCTGTCTGTCCTGGAGCTAGCTCTATAGACTCAGAGAGAGTCGCTTGGCTCCACCTTTCAGGTGCTGGAATGAAAAGTCATATGCCACCACTCCCCAGCTTTTGAGGCATTTACTTAATTAAGGCGAGGTTCCTTCCTCTCCAAGCTAATGTCAAGTTGACATAAAAGTAACCAACACAACTGACTTTTGTTGTTGTTTTGTTTTGTTTTCAAGACAGGGTTTCTCTGTGTAGCCTTGGCTGTTTTGAAACTCGCTCTTGCTCCTCTTGCTCCTCTTGCTCCTCTTGCTCCTCTTGCTCCTCTTGCTTCTCTTGCTCCTCTTGCTCCTCTTGCTCTTGCTCCTCTTGCTCTTGCTCCTCTTGCT